TTGGTTAGTGAAGTTAACATGCTTGAGGGCATTGTCTCTTCAAAGTTATAAGATAAGAAAGCTTCCGGATTCAATTGGAGATTTGAAGTGTTTGCGATACCTTAATTTGTCTGAAACTGCCATAGAAACCTTACCTGAATCCATAGGTTTCCTTCTGTCATTACAGACATTGTTGTTACAGAATTGTTATGTGTTCTCCAAATTTCCTGCAACAATTGGGAACTTGAATGACCTTCAATATCTTGACATTACTAGTACCCCGTCTTTAAAAGCCATGCCACAGGAAATAGCTAATCTCAAAAATCTTTTGATGTTGCCCAAATTCATAGTAGGGAAAACAAATGGACTGAGATTAGGTGATGTGAAGAATTTGTTACATCTTCGAGGGTATCTATCTATTCTAGATCTGCAAAATGTTTCTGATTATTTAGATGCCAGGCGATCCAACTTACACATGATTAAAGCTCTAGATGAATTGGTGCTAGAATGGACTTCTGATTTTGATGATTCAAGAAAGGGAAGCGATATTGCAGAGGAAGTGCTCAGCTCCTTAAGTCCTCATCAAAATTTGAAAAAGTTGACAATTAATTGCTATGGTGGTAAGCAATTTCCGTCCTGGATTGGTGATCAATCTTTTTGCAAGTTGTCCTATTTGAGGTTGTCTGGTTGTAGAAACAGCACTTTGTTGCCATCAGTTGGGCAATTACCTGCACTCACAGAGTTGATTATTGAAGGCATGGACGCAATTGAAACTGTTGAATCTGAGATTTATGGGCGTGGCACTTTTACATCACTGCAGAAGCTTAAGTTTCACAACATGTTAAACTGGGAGAAATGGGCTTTTCTGACTACCACTGGAGTAGAATTCTCATGTTTGAAGGACCTTGAGATTGCAAATTGTCCTAAGCTGACAGGAAAATTACCCAGCCACCGTTCTTCTCTCATTAATCTTGTGATAAAGGGATGCCCAGAGTTAACATGTCCATCTTTAAGTCTTCCGTCTCTTGAAAAAATACGCATTGAAGGTTGCAAGCAAGTACTTCTGGAGAGCATGGTTAATTTGACTTCGCTTACAATGTTGGAACTTTCAGATATCTTGGGGCTTGGTTGCTTGCCCAAGAGTTTTACAGATTCCTTGACTGCATTAGAGAATATAAAGATTGAAAGGTGCCAGGAGCTTACCTATTTGTGGGAGGAAGGAGCAGATACATCAAAGCTTGCTCATCTTGAACGTATGAGTATTGTGAATTGCCCTTTGCTTGTGTCAATGTCACGGGAAGAACAAGGCCTCGTGCCTCCCAATGTTAAATATCTTTTCCTGTATAATTGTGGGGCTTTGAAGTGTTTACCCAATCGTATGATGATGAGGGTAGATGGAAGCAACAACATGGTGAGACTTGAAGAGTTGAGAATTGAGAATTGTCCTTGTCTACAGCGTTTTCCAAGAGGGAAGTTACCTGCCACGTGTCGACTGTTAAAGATAAAAGATTGTGCCAAAGTAGAGTCTTTACCGGAGGGGATATTGGTGCAAGAAGATGGTGACAACAGCAACAATATTGAAGAATTGGAAGTCACAGGACTTCCATCTTTAAATTTAATTCCTAGTGACGATCGATTACCAACTGCTCTTAAGTCATTAGAAATTAATAATTGCCCCAGGTAGGTAAATTGCTTTGCAAAAGAACAGAACTTCCCTCTCTCTAAATTTTAAAAATATTTTCCATAGTTATAAGATCAGTTAGTAGCTGCTCTTTTAAAATATTTTGAAATTTATTTATGATTGGCACAGGTTGGAATCAATTTCAGAGAGGATGTTGCAACGTTGTCTAAGACTTGAATGCATGGGCATTGGGAGTTGTGTAAATTTGAAAAGCTTATCCTTCAGCGGCCTCAGCAATCTCACTCGTTTATACATTACAGGATGTGATGCTTTAGAGTCCTTCCAGGAGATGCCGGAGTTGAGCTTATCCATCCCCAGTATTAAAAATTTTCAAATATTTAGTTGTCAGAATCTCAAGTCCCTGCCAAAAAAGCTGTACAACCTCACATCGCTTCAGGAATTGTGGATAGGTGGGTGTCCAGGAGTCACGTCAATTCCTGAAGGGGGTTTGCCCCCAAACCTAACTGATCTTTCAATTGCTTGTGAGAATCTGAAGCAGCCTATGCGAGAATGGGGCCTCCACACCCTCACTTCTCTTAATCGTTTCACCATTGGTCATATATGTCCTCCAAATAATGTGCTTCCTTCTTCTTTAACCTTTCTTCGCATACTAGACGTTCAGAATCTGAAATCCATACCCAGAGGCCTCCTCCAAAACCTTAAATCCCTTACAGAGTTATGTATCTTGAGCTGCCCAAAGCTACGATCCTTGCCAAGGGAAGGCCTGCCTCCATTGCTGGGAGAACTCTGGATCAACGCATGTCCACTTCTAAAAAGAGAGCCTTTTCAGGAGAAAGGACAGTATTGGCCCCTCACATACCACATTCCCTGCGTCTATATAGAGGAGATCCAGGTATACAATCAAGCTCTTCTGAAACTCAGAATTTATAAATAAATTTGTTAAATAAAAGGAGAGGCTTTTGTTAGTTGTTACCAGCATCTGCAATTTCTCTTTCAGGTTATCCCGCAATAAGCAGATTATCCTCTTGCATTTGAAATTTTGTTTTCCTCCCTTGATTGAATTGAGTGCCTCAGATACATTGGGTTTATGCCGTGAATTTTGACCACCTTCAAATATTTCAAACTTGAATTCCTATTTTTTTCTAGGGATATGCATTCACACCTATTTAGCCAAGCCTAGAACAGGTTCAAATGAGATTTTTCAGTAATTTGATTCTAGCACAGGA